GATTATGGTAATTACTATACGTTGGGATGTTACAACCACTCTCAAATTAATCATTAATTTACTTTTATAATAACTTTTTAATTTCTTCTTTAATTATATTATTCGATAATACCAACACTTTTCTGTCACCATTACTTTTTTTCTGATAGAAAACAAAAAAAGAACACATTATATATATTTTTTAAACATAAAAATTACATTTAGTCAAAAATAAATTAAAAGAAACATTGAATAATTATTATAAACATAGAAACCACCATTAAGGTAAAATAAAATATACATCAATCACTTAAAAAGCTTTATTTATTTAAAAAAGAAAAAGAAGCTATGCAGTTTATTTAAAAAGTGTAAATGTTATCTTACTGACTATTGACGTTAAAATCATGATTATGGATGTCTTGAATTTATTTCCAAAACATGCACTGGATCAATCTACTTTTTCTTTTCTAGTTTTGGTTCATACTTGATGAAGAAATTTTCTTGACCAAACATGCATATAAATTACATATTTTGATAAACTGTATTCAATACTCATTTGAAGTTGAATGGTCAAAACTGCACCGCAGACTTCACGTATAAGAAATGTCCATGCTGTTCAGCCTCATAGATTGCCTTCTTCTGACTTCCCAACAGCATAATAATTCTTCATGTCTCTGCTTTTAAGCAACTCTCATGCACAGCTACTCTCACACTGTAAGGGACAAAAAGTTCCTCCCATTTATCATTACTTTTCTTTTAACATGACTCCTGTTCCACTCTTGTTATTTTCTGTCACTGCTATTTTCCAATGCAGTCTAGTCTAATTTCCCTAGTCATTCTGTGACATTCTTATGGATAATTCTCAATGTACACTCAAAAATTTGAAACCTTTCGTTAGGAAGCTCTAACCCAATTAATACATAAGAAATCCACATCATTTACAGTCCAAAAGATTAAGACAATGAAGGAACAAAAAGTTCTCTGTTTACAAAATGGAAATCATCAGATGGTTGATAAGTGCATGTAAATTTGTTGCGAATATTCTGATATCTCTGCTATATTCCTATGTCTTGAAATGTGTTGTGGAAACTAGAGATTCAAAATTTTAGTTTTGGCTAATGATAAATTGCACTAGACGGATGTGATTTTGATGTTACCAAAGTGATTGATCAGCAACATAATGGAATTGATGGAAAGTAATCTTAATGTTACAAAATTGATTTGATGAGGAACAGAATGAAAGCATTCAACGAGGATGAGGTCTGTAGTCATGCTCAATGATGGGTGTGGTTCGAGTGCCATGTGCAGTAGGAGCTCTGACATGTCCAACCATTGAAACCTGAAGGGCTTCTTCTTCATAGGCCCTTCTCTCCATCTCCACCATTCTCGATCTCTTCTTCACCCTAACAAGCATTGCCACAAGAAGCAAGCCTAAGAGAAAAGCACCCAAAGCAGCACCGATGGTGCTTCCAACAGCCACTTTCCACCTACTTATGGGCTTGTTCCTGAACTGATCTGGTGGTGACTCCACAACCNTGATCAGCAACATAATGGAATTGATGGAAAGTAATCTTAATGTTACAAAATTGATTTGATGAGGAACAGAATGAAAGCATTCAACGAGGATGAGGTCTGTAGTCATGCTCAATGATGGGTGTGGTTCGAGTGCCATGTGCAGTAGGAGCTCTGACATGTCCAACCATTGAAACCTGAAGGGCTTCTTCTTCATAGGCCCTTCTCTCCATCTCCACCATTCTCGATCTCTTCTTCACCCTAACAAGCATTGCCACAAGAAGCAAGCCTAAGAGAAAAGCACCCAAAGCAGCACCGATGGTGCTTCCAACAGCCACTTTCCACCTACTTATGGGCTTGTTCCTGAACTGATCTGGTGGTGACTCCACAACCAAACCAAAATGGCCATGCCTCTTTGCAACACAAACAAGTGGTGTTGAAGGGTTTCCTTTTGCAAGTGTCATTCTTCCATCACCTTCAAAGCTGGCACACAAGGGCTTGATCCCATCTTCCTTGTTCAACTTTGTGGCATTGGTGAAGTCAATTGTCATTGGTCTTTCTCCAGCCACAATCCCAAGTTGGAAAGGGTTGCTTGATTTTGCATCATCATCATCGGCATTGTAAGCTAGGAGCCCCACAATTGGAGACACAAGCTGGTACCCAGATAGATCATAGTTAGCATAATAGATAGAAGACCAATTGTGACCCATGTTTTGTCTGATCAACATGACCCTCTCAATACATGGATGCACAGTCACACCAGTACCCAGATGAAATTCCTTCAAGTGTGCACCATACCTTCTCAAACTGCCACATCTAAACCTCACAGCATCAACTCCAATGCCTGAAAGATTTGCAGGTAGGTCCACTGACTGTGGTATTGCTGTTCTCAAGTTCTTGTCCAATGCCATGAACGTGTGATCCCTTATGATGAGGTCAAGAACATGAGCTGATTTCACTCTCTGACCATCACATGTAAATGACACCCAGGAAAATGTCATCAAAAACAGACCAAAAGCAGAGTCCATGACAGAAAAAGAGCCAATAATGTACAACCAATGGCTTCCAATTCTGCCCAAGGTAACGCTCCTAGTTTTGTTTCAATCCTTGCTGATGCTTGAAACTGTGGTCAGTTTTGTCAGTCTTTGATATTGCATGAAATTGCAGACAAATGTGGTCGCTGCTATCACAATTGTGACCAGATCCTAAAACCTTGTCATCTGGCCAAACACACTAGCAATGTGTCTAGGTCAACCCCTTATGGGTAGCTACAACATCAAAAGTAAAAAGCATTGATATTTGTTTTTCTCCTAAGGAAAGACCATGGCTAAATCATGTTTTTTTTTTCTTGGTGTATGGAATGAGTCCCAAAGAATAAAGATAGAAGAGTGGTAATAGATGAGAAGGATAATAAGGGCAGTAGTAGTACACACCAGATCAATGAAATGGAAAAGGGTAAAGCAGCAAAGTACTTGTTCTGGTTCTTGGAGATGTTCCCTCAACAGAACTCACACTTGCTGTTCCTGTCAAAAGGATTGCCTCTTGTAGTGATGTAGTGAAACAGTCCAGTTCGGTGACCATAAGAAGGGAAAAACAAAATAAGAAGAAAAATGTAGATATTTATTGAAGCAAAGCTAGAGGAGAATGAGAGAAAAGTGTTGTTGGGGGCATCCATGTATGTAGTAGCTGTGAATGTGGAATTGGCAAAATAAAGAAAAGGGTAAGAAGAAATGATTCTTGGGCGTGGAATGATGATGACACTTCATGGTGAAATAAGAAAAAATGGCAAAAGAATTGAAAGGGGTTGGGGAGAGAGGTTTAAGCGTGCTGAAAAATGAAACTAAAGCATCCTTGTTGTGCATGGGGTCCAATAACACTGATTGTGTTGGCTGTAACATGCCATGTTCCCCACTTGTTGCACTCAAAGGCTCTAATGTTAGGCTTACCACACACATGAACATGACCTTTCCAAAGTGAAAAAATTCAAACCCCTTTTGCATTTTCTTGTTTAAACTTGGAAACTCAGATGGAAAAACCATATGGGTCAATGTTTTAAGTTTGCTGATCATGTTCTGCACAAAATATTATATATGATTGGATGGTTAATTTAATCAAACCATGATTTGGAGGAGCAATTCAGCCATCACAGATTCGTTAAAAATATATTACTTTAGTGATCCCATCATTACAGACTCAGAACACTTGATTGGTATCAACAAGATCACATTTTTAAAAACGAAAAATGAGGTTTTTAAATCACTAATGAATATTTTCTTTTCGATAGAATTTTGGTTTAATATATTAATTTATCGTATGATTTAAGGTGGTCTCCATTTTGTTCCATGTGTCAACAAGTAATAAATCCTTTCTTTCTTGAAACAAAGTAATTCTCAATTCACATGGAAAGCATATTGGCGAGAACAATCTAGATATATTTAATCCTAACTGTAGAACATTTTAGATTTTTTTTCTTAATTTGTTTGTATGGAACGATGAAAAAGAAACAGAAGTAATTATAAGTGCTTTCAGTCAGGGACTGTGACTCTTTTATATGATTACTTTGTTTCAATATTTTGATTTGATTTCTCAATAAATAAAAATACTGTTTATATTTACACATAAATTTAATCCTTTAATAAATTGATTAATAAAATATAATAATTTAATGTTTTGTTATATATATATATATATATATATATATATATATATATATATATATATATTAACAATTTTATAAATGTGTTACAGTTTAAAACCTTTAACATATTCATAAGATCTTGTTCATTGATTACATCCGCATGTAAACTAAAGTAGTTTTTGTTGCATCAATCATAACCAAATTTGACAATGATAACTAATGTTGACAAAACCAAATAACATGGATTCATCATGAAATATGTAGCATTAAAATTATGTGAAAGTAACCGATACAAGTCTATTTTCAATTATTGGTCCTAACTTTATCCCAATGAAACTAATATAATAACCTTAATATAATCAAACATAGAACACAAACACACAAAAGTGACTAACTCCAACTAAACCAAAGATTCCTCAAAATGTAAAACACATATATAAGCAATAAGCTCAAAATAAATCTTAGTAAGAGGATATGTTATCATGGAGTTTGTCCCTTAGAGTTCTATAGAAATTTGTGAACGTACCCTTTCTTTAATAACCAAGAACTTGAAGTCAATGTGGTTTGACTTGCTCGAGATCCTATTATTGTTAGAATACAATACAATTGGTTTTTTGTAATAATATAACTTAAGTTGTATTTCAATTCCTTCCAAAATGTGCAGCCTTGTGACAAAAACTCAACCATATTCCTTGATTTGATGTCTCATAACATGCTACAAAAATGTAAGGGTTTGCTTGGCATTGAGCCAAAAAAAATCACCACCAGTTAACATGAAAATGTAACATGAAGTGGATCTTAAACTATTTTGATATCCTGCAAAATTAAGTCATATTATCCAATGATCTCTAACTAGTCTAGCCTTTTATATGTGAGCTTATAATCCTTTGTACTCTTGGAATGCCTCATAACTCTTTTGACTGCTTCCTGATGATCCATTCATATATTACTTAAAAATTTGCCTAATACCCCAATTATGTATGCTATATTCAAATGCGTACATATTTGGACTTACATCAAACTCCTTACATCTAAAGCATAAGGAATCTTCAACATTTTTTGAGTTTTCTAATTTCCTTTTGGGCATTGATTGAGATTGAAAGTGTCTCCCTTAGCAATTGGAGAATCCTCTGATTTACAATCCTTCATACTGAATCCTTTATGTAAGTCATCAACATACAAGACCAAGAAAAAAATACTTCCCACTAAATTTGTGATACACACAATCATCAACAACATTCATTTCAAAACCAAATGAGAGAATCACTTGATGAAATTTGTGGCACCATTGACGAGAAGTTTGTTTCAGCCTATAAATGTATTTTGTCAATTTCCAAACCGCATTCTTTAGCTTTCCTGATACAGAGTTTTATGGTTGCACCATATAAATCGTCTTGTCAATGTTTCCATTGAGAAATGTTGTCTCGACATCCATTTGATGAAGCTCTAAAACACAATGTGCAACATGAGTCATGATTGTTATAAAAGAGACTTTCAACGAAACTAGAAAGAAAGTCTCTTTAAAAAATAATCCCTTCCTTTTGACTATAGCCATTCACCACAGGACGAATCTTATACCTCTCCACATTACCTTTAGAATACCTCTTGGTCTTAACTATTCACTTACTACCAAAGGGTTTCACACCTTTTGTTAATGGAACAAGTTCGTAAAATTTGTTGTCTTACATGGACATATACTTCTCATGAAACACAAATTCTAAGGATCTTGAGTTTGTTCTTGTAGAGATTTTGAACTTGTTAGAGGTTCTAAACTTGCTTCATCATAAACAAATAATCGAATTTGGAATTTTCACCCATTGTTCCTTTAACCTTATTCTTCCCCTAACTCAATATCTTCAAAGAAAGTGACTGTTTACGTCTCAAAAAGATATCTTTAATTTGGGATCATAGGATTTATAGCCTATCTGATATTGTTGTTTAGGTTTGTTTACTTTTAACAAATTCAATACAAACATCAAGGTTTTGTGAAGTCAGTTTTACGCTTAGTACCATGGAATTCCGTATTTAAGGATTCACTTATAGAAAGTCACCGTATCAAGCATATATAGATTATCATTAGCTAAAAGTGAACTAGTTCCAACAACATTTGAATTTAAAGACAATATGAATTCATTATTTCAAAACGAACACAAATAACTATCAGAACGGTGTAGCGAAATGAGTAGCGTGAACAATAAACCAAGAGGGTTGTCAATTGGTTTCTTATCGCAAATGTGTGTTTTTAATAATTTTCTCTTATTTTTAATTTCATTAGCGAATAATTAAAACAATACTAAAAAGTAAGGAAGATATAAAATTTACACAAATAATTTTATATTGGTTAAGATCACAAGGATCCTACATCTATTTGCTAATCCCAAACGGAGATTAACTTTTCACTAGCACAAAACTAATAAATTATTACAATCACACATAAAGATAATTTAAAGGGTTTAGAAAACACCTCTCTTGTTACAACAAGAGATGAAACTCACTTCCCCTGAAAGCCATAAGAGATGAACACCTCCTCTGAATGCTTCACGAAGGATGAACACTTCCTTTGAATCGTCACAAAGGATGACAAGCTTCACTTAGCAACAACAAAAGCACTCAATCACAATCCCAGTGAAAGTTCTCGCTCTATGCCAACACCAAGTTCTCTAAGCCAAAGCACCAGGGTTACACAAACCCTATATCACACTTATCACAAAATAAAACAATTAGATATGTTTTTGTGTGTTAGAATGAGGGTTTAAAACCAATATATAAAGATCTCACTCAAGGACGCCTCCAAAAATCTGTTGTCAACTTTTTCTCGTGAGATAATCGATTATCCACTTATGGTAATCAATTATGCATTTAATGAATACATAGTGACAAAAAACATGTCTAAAAACTCCAACGGCTTGTCGTGATAATTGATTATGGTAAGTCATACTCGATTATGGATAATCGATTATCATAAGTTGGTAATCGATTACTCTAGAGACAAAATGAGTTTTTAGTAACCTTTAAAAACCTCTATGTGATAATCAATTATCTTAAGTGCTAATCGATTATTGTAGATTTTTTGTCACTCCAAAACTAATTTTCAAGCATACAATACATGGAATCAACAACAACTAAAACCCTATACATAAATCTACTTATTACAAAAGCTTTAACACAAAAAACAAGTCTTCATGAAGGTCTTCTTACAAAGTGAGCACTTGAGACTTGATTTGGACATCATCAAAACTTCTAATAACTTCATGATTTTGCTAACAATCCTTCCTTTTTTTTATGATGGTAAAAAATGCTTTGATTTAAATACTTTTTTGTAACATGTCTCCTAATATATAATTCATACATAACTTAAAGAAAAGACATTGGTAGATAAAAGATAAATATATTAAAGTCTTTAAACATATTTCTTTCTTTTTTGGTCATTATAAAAAAGAGCAATGTATGATTAATTATTTTTCCCCTTTAGATAATATTCCCTTTTAATATAAGCCATAAATAAATAAATAAGGCATATCAAATAATAGGGCAAAATTTTATTAAACAAAACAAACAACACTAGAGGCAAAATACAACAATAAAAAAAAATCAAATTTTTCATGTTAAAAACTCCCCTTAATTTGACAAACCATATTTTACCAAGTTTTTGTGCACACCCAAAAACTTCTTCCTTAATTTTGAAATAACCTACAAAATAGAGAAATAATATTTTGGTCCAAAAAAAATACTTATTTGGGTCCTTTGAAGTTAGAGACGAGTTATTTTATAATAGGAATCCATTCATATATTCCATTTGGAACACCATAATGTTTTATTCTACATTTATTTAATGTATAACCACTTTTCATGCAATAGAAACAAGTAACAACATTTGGGTTCTTATAATTAGTTCCTTCTTCTACCTAAATTCTACAGGTTCTTTTAGTTCTATTTTTAT